GGGGGGGGGGGGGGGGGGGGGGGGGGGGGGGGGGGGGGGGAGGGAGTTGCTCGTTTCAACATCATATGCAGGTGTGGCACTTCCAACATCCAAGCTTGGGACAAAAAATCAGCTCAAGCGAGAGGACACAATCGACCATCTGAAAAGCAGGCCCGGTTCGAGAACGAAGACAGGATTGGATTGACGATGTTGACGATCACATCCCACTGGCGTCGCTTTCGGAAGGAGCCCTTCCTAGACAGTCCTCGGCCCTCTTTGAATAAGTGATCGTCCCCAAAGCAAAGAGAGCAGCCAAGACAGCGAGGGATCCAGCGGCGTCGATTCTGTCCTACAGACGGTTGATCCTTCCGGTGGTGTCCAACCAACAAATTCGCCATCAGTCAGCTACATCCACGCCCCCCTTTGCCCGACCATCTGCACTGGGCAGGTTGATTGCTGGAGAGGGGGCGAATGGACCGTAACAACGGCAACCGGCAGAAACAAGCACGCGATTTGATTGGTCGAAAATGCATGTCCTGGTCGACGCCAGTGTGAAAATACGGAACCAATCTCCTCGACAGAGGTTGGGGGGATGGAACCCATTTAAAACGCATTCAACTTGTAAGTAATAACGCATGCCATTCGCGTCGTCATCGATCGAAACCACGTGCATCGGACAGTCATTCGTGGACGATTCCACGTAGACGTGCGTCATCATTTCGAGAACAACAAACACCACGGGTGAACGCACACCATGCATGGCAAGCATCGTCTATCTAGTTTTGTGTGCCTAATCTGGATGCAAAATGAGTCACTTTCGCCGCCACCTCTGCTGCCACCACCTAATTGTCACCGAAGCTTTTCCAGACCGCAGTCAGCCTACACCCTCACCTTGCAACCAAGCGACCACATAAAGGGAAAACGAAAATGCCTTCCTCTTCCCTCGCTGTCTCAGGGCCGCCTTGCACCATTCCAAACAAACGAACTCCGTCTAGACGCGAAACAGGAACACACATAGAAAACTCACGTGTCCAAGTATCTTGCTTGGCTGGTCAACGGCCACGTGCACGATGGCCCGAGCGGCGAAGTCCACGGGGGTGACGTCAATTTGCCAGGCAACCCCCTCCGGTACGCAGCCCAGGTCGAGACAGCCCTGTTGCCGACCAAAGCGCGACAGCGACAACAAACGAATCACCGCCAAATGGTAGCACCACCGGCGATCACAACATCGGCAAGGGTTGGGGCGAGGGACACAACAGCCAGGGCGAAAGAGTGGGTTTGGCTTCATCGCTGGGGATGAATTGGGAAAAAAAGTATGGTCACACGCCCTATCTAGCTAAACGAGCAAAACATCTCCTTAGCACGTGTACGAGCTACTGTAGGGGTTGCGTACACTTCGATGGTAAACGGAAGATGATAGAAGAGTAGCCACAAACAAAAGACGTGTCACGAACACGCCGTGTGCCCCTGTAGTCGATGTCTATAGTACCCGCCGGCAGCAACTTGAAACTACACAAGACACTGCTCGACACCACGGTACAAGCCACATACAATGGTACATACCATGGTACGGTAGGATAGAACTCCCGTGGAACGGGACGGAACCCGTCAGCCACCAACTCAAGTCATGTCCTGAATGGACTGCGACCATTGCAACAACCATGAACAGGTGCAAGAATTCTAGAACCATTTGATCATGGGTTGAAACTTGGGAATATTCGATAACGACGTCTTCCGCAATCGCTTGTTTCAGGTAACAGACCCGTCGAAAGAATGAACACTGCAGGCAGCGGCAGAGAAGCCATTCTTTCGTGTGAGCATACAAGAGCCATCAGCAACAACAACAACAACGCATGTGCAACATCAACAGAAACACAGCAGCACAGCCACCATGATCAGCACCAGCACCAGCACCGGCACCAACAATCAGCGGCGGCAGCACCATTACCACCACCACCAACAACAACACACCTGGAGCAGCATGTAGATGAAGTCCGAAGGGTTCCACGCCCCTGTTGTCGCAGAGGGGGACATATTCCCAGGCCTCAAGATGCTTACGGGGAGTCCCCTTGACCTTGCTTGCATGCACATCTGCTCCGCTACCCACTTGCTCTGCCCGTAGCCGTCGCTCAGCTCTTTCCACTGTTCGCTCATGTCGGCGTCTTCCATGAACGTCTTCGTCGCTTCACGCAACGTGAACGTGCGAAAGTTTTTTAAAAGACGACGGGGGGTAGTGGGCGTCAATGGCAGCAGTCATGTACAACAGCAGCAAACACCACTGCAACGAAAATCGCAACACAAAAACAAATGGCGACGGCAACAACAAACAAACATCACGAAACAGGGAAGCAGCAGCAGAACAACATAAACAGCAACCACGACCACCGCATCAACACCTCAGCACAAACAACAACAGAGACAGCAACAACCACGAGTTAGTAGCAACAAGATCAACAACAGCAATTGCGTTACGGTTGGAAGAAATGCATATCCTATCCTACCCGATCCTCTACTGTCGCTCGTTTCTTCTATACTGTACCGGAAGAGAAGGGGAAAACGCCGTTCGTGGAAACGAAGTGAACAGGCTTCACGCGTGTGCCGAAGGCGTTCGTAACCGCCAAGCGCAACACCTCCTGTTCTCCGCAACACAGCAATAAAGAACACAAAAAAACGAAAAAAGAGAGAGAAAAAACACCAGAGCCTCGTCAGGATGCGAAGGAAATCTTAAGCAAGAGGAGCGAGCGTCCTTCATGTGTCGGCCTTTGAGGAACAGGACATGCCATATTCACTCCGACGACATCCATAACGACATCGACACCGACATCGACACGATAGGGGCAGCAAACAAACGTGGGATGTAGTCACTGTTGGTGGAGTTTAGTTTGACCGCACCGTGTCTTGTTGTACCGTCCGAAGTGCAACCCACCGTGTTCTTCGTCACCACCACTCATGTTTCCTCCTTGACATTATCGTAGTTGACACAAGATTCAACAACGCCCCTGGACCGATCGTCAAAGCTCGATTACAATGCTCCACAGCAGAAAGAGTGTAGGAGATGAAAATGACAATGGCGTTGGAACCTACTCGTCGAGAGCTTCCCGAACACGTGTGGTTTGATGGATGCACCATCTTCGTCGTGGAGTAATCGAGCCTTGAAATCGGTCGAGGTGTGTGGCGTCTTTTGCCGCCTACGGTGCTGGGTGTGTCGAAAGTTGCACAAGGGTAGGATGAGCGACACCCAGCGGCACGATAGCTCTCAAGTACAGTAGGGACGGGAGAACCTATTTACCACAGCAGTCAAGCCAAGTGCAAAAGACTCCTGTCACAATTATACTAACCCTATCCCCAACCGTAACCCGATGCCTGATAGTGCGCGCGCGTGGCAATCCAATAGCAGCTTGGTCAACAATACATGTACAGCGGAGGGCGCCAGCTCAACACGGCAGCAGTAGATGGATGGTGGAGATGGGTACCTGGGTGCCAAGCACGTTAACGGCCTTTAGCGACTGGTAGGAACGGACAAGGTTGACCGAGGCTCCGCTGTGGATGATGGAGTCCAGCTCGGCGGCGAGCATCTGTTGATGGCAATATCATTGGTACGACAGCTTAGGGTTGTTAGAGCGAGCACCTGTTGATGGCAATAGCATTGGTACGATAGCTTAAGGGTAGAGCGAGCATCTGTTGATGGTAATATCATTGTTACCGCAGATTACGGTTAGGGTTGGGTCAGAACAGCCCAAATATGGGCTATGCTAGAGGCGGTGCGCTGAACAGATCCAGTTTTCACACATAGCACTGACTTAGTCCAGAACAATGAAGAGGTAGGACTAGCGCGAACTGTGTCCACTGCCGTTCTTGATACAGGGTAAGAGCGTGTCAAATCGAAGTAGAGGGCACGTTCATCCATCAGGGCAACTCGTGCACCAAAACCAGCGTTCGGCCTACCGCTGCAGGGGCCTTAACGTTAACATAACCATGGGCCACATCATTTTCGCACCCAAGTCAGTATACTTTGGCGCGCGATGAATCTTGAAGGCTAGAAAGGTGCCAACTATCAACACATTGTGGTGTGTTTCTTCACTCGCCTTGAAGGACATGTCGTCGAGTCCAAGCAGCGGTCTGGACAAGTCCCCCGGGACAGCAACGACCCTATCCATTCCCGACAACACCTCTTTGTTGTCCAGCTTGAACCTGAGGGAGGCCAGGCCATGAAAACACACAAACAAAGAAGTAAAGCCTTGGGAGTATGACATCGTGCGTTGGTCATTGCAGTACCAGGCATCCAGTTTGCGGCATACAACTTGTGGTCAACGAAATACGCTCCTATGCATAAGGAAGTCGACTAAGAGGAACTGGAAAGAGGTGAGAAGGGTGTTTCACCAGTTTCAAATGTGAAGGCAGGTGCGTCATCATCCTCCGCTTCCTCATCAAATGTGCGAAGCATTGTGAAATATTCGAAGTAGATACGAATAACACCAGCACCAGCACCAGTGGGACACGTCACCAGGAAGAAAATATATAATGTCCCGCCAAAAGGCGAGGCGTGCGGCACGTGTCGCAACGTCGTGCGGGTACTTGTTCCTCCGTCCCCTTCATCACCTCCAGATTGCCTATTCCCAACTGGCCACAACTCGTTCGATGGGTCAACCCAGCCGCGCTTGAAAATCTACTCGTGCCTCGCAGAAATGTCAACCCGGCCCGTCCCCGCTACAATATGCCATGACACAAGCATGGGTCTGCGGCAAATACCGCACTACCGCCCCTGCAAAAAAACCCTCTAAACAGGAGAAAACATGCACTGTAACTTTATACGCACCGTACAAAACACATGCTATGAATGAATACACACAGCACACCACCAAATCCAGTACTTCCTCACATGGTGAGGGTGTCCTCGAGGCGTCGGAGTGCTTCCTCCTTGTTTCCGGCCCTGACCAGACAGAACACGTCCACGTGGGTGTCCCTAAGCAGAGACGCCAGGATGTGCACCCCCAGGAAACCGGTGGCTCCGGTCAGGAGGACTCGCTGGGGAGGCCGAGACGCCTTCGAGGCTCGGAAACGCGAATACCTGTCACATCCATTATCCATCATCCATCATGCATCAGCATCATGCGCTAATCAGGCGTTTCCAGACACACCAGGAGCACGTTCAAGAATGGGAGAGCTATAATTGGTTGCTGTAATTCTCAGGAGCAAAAAACAGAAAGAGCCGTACAGTCGGAGAGACAGGACAGTATCGGGTGGAAGAAGCAGCGTGTGTGGGTCCCAGCGGTGTGTACAGTGTGAGGAGAGTGGGTTCTTCGAGGGAGCTCGCCGAACCAAGAGGTGTGGAGGCATGCGATACATTCGTTTGTGGCCGTCGAGGAGAACTGCCCCACACGTCAGTTCATTACAATTGGGACGGGACATCGTCAATCTCGGTTTGTGGTTTGGATTGGTTTGGCTTGTATCAGGCATTGGTCACAGACAACAACCGCGGATGGATTGTGAATGTTGTGTCTGGCGTGACGTGTGGCAAATGCATCCAGAGATGACTGAAAAACTAAGAAACGCAAATGCATCATCCCTCAAGAGCAAAAAATTTACAATTTTATTTTCGCTCACACAACCGATAACAGAGAAAAGAGAATAAAAGTATGCTAGCCATCGCTCAAAGCATGAGCAACTCAGAAGGGAGGCCTCATTTCCCACTACACCTGCTCATTTTTGACTAGCATCACAATTAGTCTGACATCTTGACCACGCCTCGTAAAGATAAAGCCGATTCACGGCTCTGATATTGACCTATTTCTGGGTCGTTCACCCTGCTGCCATCCTCCTCACGCATTAGCCTTACCCGATCTTTCGCGTCCCGGCGGGGTAGATGCTCGCGTCCAGCCTGCTAGCCTCGGCCTCAAGATCAACCACCTTGACCGCGGCCGCCGTAGCCGTGGGCGCCTCAACCCCCTCGACAGCCTGCACCACCCCGCGCGAGCCGTCGTGAAGTACCACCGGAGCAACAGCTTGTGAATTGGAGATACCGGCCGCCTGCAGGCCCGGTACGATGGACGGCGTTCCCGCGATCGTTCCTGAGAGCTCCTCGACGATCTTGGCCATCCCCTCCATGGAGGGCCATTCGATGAGCTGCGGAATGGTGACGGTCACCCCTGCCTCGCGGGAGAGGGCGGCGGCGAGCTTGGCCAGCAGGAGTGAGTGGCCGCCGAGATCGAAGAAGTCTGCCTTAGGGGAGAAGGAGGACTCGCACCCGGCCTCCAGGACGCTGGCCCAGGCCTTGCCGACCGCCCTGCGCCACCAGTCCGGAACAACATCCAAAGTTGGAAGAAGGGTAGACGAAGCCAAGGTACACCGGGACCTACGTCCCTTGTCCGTTCACGTGTGTCCTTTGCACGTGCCGAACAGGAGGGACGTGTGCTATGGTACAGGCAGGCCATGGGTTTCAAGGACGCCATGGGAACAATATAAAAACCTGCGTTTGCTGCTATTACCCCGGGCGCGTCCTCTGCTTTATCCGGTGAAATGGCCGTCTGTCTTCGTTTCCAATGGACGGGCACGCCTCATAGTAAGATCAAGACACCGAGCACAAAGCAACCGCCGCCTTACCTGAGCGCGGGCGTGGACAAGATCGCCGCCGCACGATGCCCGCCGCCACCGCCGCCGCCCTCTTCCATATTTTTCGACGCGGTCATCTCCGAGTCTAGCTTCTCCGACAGCTCCCCTAGCGTGGGCCTCTCTATGATGGAGGGGATCGACACTTCGGCCCCCATGTCCTTGAGCAGTCCCGCCGACAGCTTTGCGAGGAGGAGGGAGTGTCCCCCTAGCTCGAAGAAGTCTGAGGACGGTGTGATGGTGGCTTCGTCCACCTTCAAGAGGCGAGCCCACAGGCGGGCCACCGACCTTCGATGTCAATGAGAGTCAAGAGCAAGAGAAGAGATTTGACACGATGAGCTTCATAAGATCAAATCACACCAGCTACTTTTTGGCTTACTGTGCAACACATTTCTTGTGGGATCCTGGCCACCTTCCGCTCGATGTATATCAGCCGGTTCCACATGGGGAATTTGCCGCCATTGTGACAATTGAATGTATCCACATACCTCTGCGTGGACGTGAGTACTGGCACGTCAGGCGCATGCTCCTCGTTCTCCTCCGCCATCAACAGCGAGCCCGGGCTGGGTTTGGTTGGCGCCGGGTCTTTCGTGTCCCCAGCGGGCAAAACCGCATCGCCTTCATCCTCCGCGTACTGGTCGTCATGCGCACAGCTGTAGGGCACGAATCGCACCTTCACACACACAGAAAGAGAAGGAGAGAGAGGGAGAGCAGCACCAGCACGTGATATAGAGGGAGGGAGGGGGTTCCAAGTGAATGGAGTTGGCACACCACAGTACAGAGGAGCACACACGACAAGAGAGGAGGAGCACATGAGGTATGTGTGCGTTATTGAAAATAGGTTACACTTTGCGAACCGATGACCAATGAAAAAAGTCAGTCTTACAGCGGGGCAGAAAAACAAGTCTCACGAGAGCTACCGCTGGTGAATTAAGCCCACGAACATTTTTTTGAACGGAAACATTAATAAACGTCTGTGTGTCGCGTTTCTCCTGTTTGCCCCCGCCTGATGCATGCAGAAGAAATAAGCCAACACAGACTGAACACGCAAAATACCGATCGCCGGCGCTCCAAAATCGCTTCTCATTCTCACCACTTATAGGAAGCGACTTACAGTCTAGCTGGTCTACCATCTACTACGCTTACCTCTGCGTGGCCGGTCTTGGGAAGTTTCTTTTTGTCGGCCTTACCGCTGGCCATGTTGATCGGGATCGCATCCAGGAGAATGCACACGTGAGGCACTGCGTAAGGTGGTAGGCGAGACTTGAGGAACCGCTTGATCGAACTGGCGCTGGGGAGCTGCAAGGGTTGTGTGAGCGATAGCGATAGCGGTAGTGACGTCATCCACGACGACGATCAGAGGCAAATTGCGACAGTCAAGTCGGGAAAACAGGGGCGGGCACACGACCGGTGTACGTGAGAACATGAATGCAAAGGGTATATGAAAACATCAGCAGGGTGCTCGAGTACGTGAGTAGGGTACACGAGAACGTGATTGGGGTACAATGGAGGGGGTACGCTGTGCGAAGGGTCAACTAGCACGGGGTGGCGGTCTCTTGCAAGAATGTGACGAAGACGACCTTGCTCTCGTGAGGTTGACGTGAATTGAAACGAAGAGTGGTGTCAACAAGTCAATTGGCCCAAGACGTGAACAAGAAAAGGAGTGAATGAGTGAAATATACCGGCCGGGGACACGAGAGACCAGAGACGGTGAGTGCTGCAAGGAATAAAACTATGATAGCAACCGACTTTCGATAGAGTATGATGGAAATGAAAAAAGGTCACTCTGCAGAAGATCAGTGGAATCAAGAACAGAAAACAAACGGAGTAAGCGAGGTTTGGGCGGAGGATCATACTCCGACATTTGACGTTGGTCAGGCGTTTCAGCAAGAAGAAGGCAGCGATGCTGGTGGCGGGGGCAAGGGTTTGGGGAGGGGATTGAAAGCGGGAGGGGAACGGATAAGAAGCAAATCGATAATACCTGAACAACCCATTTGGGTGTGACAAAAATCTTGCTTACGATCAGTACTCGAACACCAAATTTATTGAACACAATAACCCTCGAATTGGCGCATTCTCCCAAAGGTGGGAGGGCAACACGTGTACCACCTCATGCCCACCACCATCACAACCGTCATGATCACCGATATCGCACCTTCTCCCAGCTGTCCGGCACGATGTACGCCACGAGCTTCTTGTCCATGCTACCTTCCGCACCTTCCGTCATGACGATCGCCGTCGACACCAAGGGGTGCTCCGTGATGGCCGCTTCCACAGCGCCGATAACCACAGAGTAGCCGCGTATCTGGATGCGTAACGTAACGTCGTTTAGGAGAGCAAGAAGGGTGCCCGGTTTGAGGAATAGATCGATGTGGCCCCAAGATCTAGCATGGTACGGACACACTCACACACGCAAGGTAGAACACCTGCCACCTGGTCATACTGCTGAGATAGAACACACATGCGCACGCACACCATCGCAAACGCCTCGCCCGCTCTCCTGAAATAATCGCAACACGGTTTATGCGTTGGATGGGGGCATAACTCAATCACAGCTACTACCAAATGCATATCCGCACACGACTATACGACACCGGCAGACAAGCCGATGAATCCTCATGTACATACAAACAGGCAAAGGCTGCTACGCCGATAAACTAACTGACAGTCAGGTGAGGACAACAACAACAACAACAACAACAACAACAACAACAACAACCATAAACCACAAACGTGGCGGCGTCCCTGACCTTACCTTCACCATGAAGTCACAGCGCCCGATAACCTCGATGCTGCCGCTGGGCAGGTATCGGCACCTGTCTCCGGTGTCGTACATACGCTCGCCTTCCCTTCCCGCGGCCTCGGCAAAAGGGTCGGGCACGAAGCGCTCGGCGGTCCTCTCGGGCATGTTGAGGTACCCGATCGCCAATGTGGGACCCGCTATCCACATGCGTCCTGGCACGCCAACAGGCACCTGCGGCGAAATGAACCAGGAGTCATGAGAGGGGGTCGTGGTTCACGACGGGGAGAAGGCCGAAAGATAAGAAAGGGAGTGCTAGGGTCAGGGGTAACGGTGTTGTTCGAAGGGAGGAAAGGAGAGAGGACGGCTATGTTTATACGACGGAGACTCTGTTACACCTCCTGCGTGTATGCTTGGGGTATGCCTTAATCGCATTCGGTGGGGCGGGCGACGGTGATGTGGGCCGTTAGTCACTACGGTGTGTGTGAAAATGGTAGGTGATAGAACAATGCTCATGGACCACGGAACACAGACAAGGTGTTGGGAAAATAGCAGCAACACCATCACCAACAGCAACACGAACAAGCAGAAGCAACGGCAACAGCAGAAGCGGTAACGATTCCAACGACTTACATGCTGCAACTGCTCGTCCAAGATGTAGGCCCGCACGTTAGGCACCACCTTCCCGCAGGGAGCGTACTTGGGGCTCTCGTTCACGTCAACCTGGTCGAGATTGCAGAAGCTGATGTCATGGCACTCGCTGATGGAGTAGAGGTTCTCCATGTGGCAGTCGGGCAGCAGAGCCTTGAACTTGTTGCTGTATAGACGAAACAAAGTGGAGAGAAGGCAGCGGGAGAGGATTGAAATACGAAGACAATGCCGTGCGGTGTCTGCGTGCTCGAGGCGAGGTCCTGGAGAATCGCTGGGCTAGTTGTTGCGCAAGCGTTCATTCCGGAAAAGCTCAAGTCAAGCCCGCCGAAAGACAGCGAAGCAACGACACGCATGAGAAACGTAACAAGACACCAAGACACCGGGGGGGTGGAAGAACCCTTCACCGACGGTGCCCCCTCGTGTGGCTCAACCGCCCCCCCCCCTCGAAAAAACACGGCGAACTCGGGCGAAAGCAATTACCAAACTCCAACCAACCAGAATCTACGTAAAGTGCTTGGCAGGGACATGCTAGTTCGGTGACCAGAGCGAATGAACTCTAGCCTCGCCCAGCCCTTACCGTAGCTCGATCGTGACAACCTCTCCGCACAGCCAGACGATGCGCATGGTCTTCATGCACTCCTTGAGGTCCTGGGGCTCGCATTGGTCGAGCACTAGCTGTAGGAGGGACGGCGTGAAGAGCATGCGAGTGATCTTGTTCTCTCCGAGGTACTTGAGCAGCCTGCTCAAGTCCAAGACGCCGTCAACGTGGGTTTCGACATGGCGTGGATGACCCGCCCAAGGAGGGAAGGCATCACCCACGGACGAAGGAAATTCAAGAAACAGGGCCACGGGCGATTGGTTGATCCGGCAATCCAGGGATATCAAACATGAGGGTGGAAGTTGCATCATCGCGTCATCACATGAAGGCAATGTTGCCCAAGGGATTGTTTTACGGCCGTCTCCTATTACCACACCACACGCCACAGCACACCGAAACGTACGATGGGCGGTTAAAACAACCCACCGGCTCAGGTGTTGTTGAGCACCGACAGCCTCAAGACGTTTCAACACGTGGGCCGTGTCGCTCGCTGCGCGAAAAATTTGACAGTAAAAAAACTAAAGTCAGACTGTCGTGAATAATGGTCACACCCCCGACAGTTACACCGTCACCATCATCACAACGTCAACACATACTTGTACACATACACGGTCTACACACGGATCATGACCTATAGAAGCATATCCTGTTTTCAGCTGCACTGAGACTGCCGTCTTTTATGGGTCAGAGCGCGGTCGATTCAAATCACACACACATGCACGCACACACGCCGCGCCAGTTCGGGCCAGATTATGGCACACGAGATTACCTGGGGGGGTCGTATATGTGATCGTCCGGTATTACGTACAGCGGAACCGCGACACCGCCGGCGCTCTCCATGCCGCCTAAGAGCGGCCTCAGCAGCTCCCAGACGAAGAAGACGTGGCAAGCCTCCCTGTCGCCCTCGCTGTAGGGGAAGTTGACGAGGCGATGGTGGTACGAGTGGACGGCCCCGCGGTGGGGGCAGCAGATGCCCTTGGGCGCGCCCGTGGTTCCAGAGCTGTGAGAGCGAGAGATTCCGACAAGCGGAGGACATTGGTAGGTCAACTAGAGTGGTAGGTCATGGCAGGCACTGCTGTGGGTTTAGACGTGCAGGTGGCACGTGTTGTTCACGGACAGGAGTCACCCTAGCCTTAGGCCGAACTGCATGCTCTTGTTGATGTTGTCGTGCTTGTCTTCACCACAAAAAAATCCGTTCAGATGCCTGCCTACAAGTACAGGTAGCTCAACAGTATTGGTCCAACTGACGTGGACGATCTTCGGTGGTCACAGGCGAAATGCACACAATAGGCCGTTTTTATTCCATGTCCGGCCTCTGGCTTCTCTGACTTACTTTGACTATTGGTGTACAATACGATCGTTTCTGGCAGGACTAGGCTAGAAAATGTTTTCCGATTGTCACTACAGTAGAGAATGCCTTTGTGTGCTCACAATCATGACAATGCATGCGGAATTTAGATAAAAGTATAACATGAGTACTTCAGACCGGACAGGACACTCAGTCGCACATCAATACCTCATAACAACGTAGGCGAGGTCGTCCGGCGAAGGCAACGCGGCATCCTGTGGCACGGGGGGAGCTTCCCTAGCAGTCTTGATCCACTCCCCGTCATCATCCATGCACAGGGTGGCTTGCCAAGAGGGCAGACGATCCACCACGCTCGACTATCGTAACAAATGCAGTGTTATGAAAACGCAATCCATACAGCAGTACCATGGAAACCGGGGGTGGGGGCGGGAAGGAAGAAACAGAGTGGGTGCAGCAGAAAGAAACGCGATACAAATGGAAAAAAAAAATGGACTAGGAGGTGAGCAGGCACACACCCAACTACTGTAAAAGGGGAACGCGGCGAGTCATCACGCATGAAAGAAAAAGTTGTCTTTACCAAAGGTCAAAGGAACTGACAGCCGTACCGGACCTATGCATACGACGGGTGTATGCACAAAACACACCAAATAATTGTCTGCAGTGTTCGTGAAAGCCCAATCGGCAGGGAGTCCGGGTGGCTTGGCATGCACCAAGCCAAGACAAGATGACAAACTGAGTGGTGCCACTACGACATAAACCTCTTTGATGAGGTCACACCACAAGACAAGACAAAATAAACCACGAGGGGCCACAGTCCGGGGACACGCGACACGCGACAATCGCAACATATGTAGCTCAAAAAAGTGAAAGAACACGGTTGCTCGAGGGGAGAACAAGACAAGACAACATAACACAAGGACGTAAAGGTCGCCATGAAGGGACAAGGCAAGGAAACGTGAAGCCAAATACGAGTATGCCGTGATACTAGACTACACACCAGCGTAGGTGGCAACTCACACTGGGAAGGGAAACGCGTGCAGTCGAGCATGACTCGGCACCCTCAAAAAGATTAAAGGTGACCCAACGCAGGGCCTGAAGCAAGCAAGGGCAACGACAACACTCAAGGCCCGATCCCCTCCTGAGACGCGCGCCCGATAATTGCGTGATACAAGGAATTCAATAGCTACATGGCTGACCGACAAGGAAGATGGACGGAGGTACACGTACATTGCTAGCCCAAGAAACGCACCTGTGTGAGGACCATGGGGGGCTTGACCTGCTTCATCACCCCTTCCAGGAGGTCGGCCGGATAAACCAGCTCCAGCGGCATGTACGCCCCCGTGGCCTGTGTTCATTTTTAAAAAATATTTGCGGTTTCGCGCATCCCAAAAGGAACCAGACCGGGGCGACACAACAAGGGGGGCAACTTTTTTACTTTCGAAGAGGGATGGGGGGTGGGGGGCGGGAGAATGGTCCTCATTTCCGTCATTTGGCCTTAGCCCCATGTACCTGGAGAAACAGAGGCGAGATCGATGACACGCCGAAAGAGGAAAATTCGCCAAAGACGCCCGCAACACCCGAGCGTCATTGTAGCACGCGGCAGTGGAGTTGTGGCTTACTCTTATCCATGCACACAGGTGGAAGCTCTGCCTTGCTGATCATGATTGGTCACGCGCATGACGTGACGTCATGAATCTCACGCAAATAAAAACGCAGAAAAGACAGGGGAGGAGAACGCAAGCAACATTGACGCCCTGCCTAATTAGCACGGTGCCCGTGGGACACGCTACGCACGCCAGTGTCTCGTACATGACTAGGGCTTCCGAATGGTGGCACGTGCAATGAACACGTTTTGGTGATGTCGGCAAAACTAGCAGGGGCGCGACGGTGCATGCGCTAGCTCTGTAGGCGGGTATCTAGTGTACCTTGTGGGCGGCGATGTAGGCGAGGGCGAACTCCGTCCGGTGGTCCATGAAGATGCCCACGGTAGACCCGACTCTGACTCCCTTGGAGTAGAGCCATCCGGCGAGAGCATCGGTGAGATCGTCCACTTCTCCGAACGTTAACGAATCACCCTGGCGATCCGCGTTCAGAGCCGGATACGAAGGGGGGGGTGCGAGTGTAGTGTATAGAGAGGTTACGAGAGAGGGTTCAGGGTTAGCTTTTTGGTGCTGTAGGCCAAATGCATAGGGTTTGTACAGGGGACCACGAAGTGAAGCAAAGACGAAGATCATCACTGTGGTGCTGCACCCTCGTCCGAAATTGCATGATTGTGTTCTTCGTACCTGGAAGCGTGTGTTCTTCCTTCTCCTCGTACATGGAAGCGTTGTATGCTGGTGTTTGTGTCCGCTACATTCAGAATCGCACAGTATTTTCCAATCAGGCAAGGAAACGAATGGACATCCATGGTCACAGCTCACCCAAACACAGGTACAGCCACAATGTATGTACCCAGAGAACAAAGCCCTGAGCACTTGGGAAGAAACGATCCGAAAGTCTAAAAATTTAGAATCCAAGAGATGCAAGAGACAAAAACAGGTGTTGAAAACGCACGACAAAATTAAAAAATGATGGAGAAAAACACGCCCACCCGAAGGGAATTGTTGTTGCTGAGTTGTTTCTCACATTAGCTTAATAGTCCACAAAAATGGGGAGCCCGTGGTCTCAAACCGGCATATACGACGCCGCGGGGAAGCAAAAACAAACGTAGGGTACAAACCACTCGGAAAAAGAAAACAAAATGATAAAAAGTAACAGCTACCTCACCGACCGGTCGAGAAAAGATCCCTCGGAAACCAATCAAATTTAAACAAAAACAACAACATAGCGCTTCCCATACCCGCCAATAAAATCAACGGGTAACGTACCAGCACCAGGCCCTACGCACCAGGGCATGGGAGCAACGAGGCCAACAGAACAAAGCGGTGGCAGATGGGCAGACAGCCAGATGTACAAAAAACAAAAGCAACAGCAAAAGCGAGATCAAGTTACCCAACACGGCAGAGTAGGCAGGGGGGGGGGGGGGG